GTCGCCGGGAGCATCACGATGACTCGAGTCTGTCGTTCGCCATCCGACCTCAGCTTGCTCCAATTAGTGCTTCGAAACTTCGTGTGCTCTCGACACTTGAAGTGAAACGGATTGTGTCAGGCTCAAATCACTGCGGGGCTCTAACTTTTCCGAAGACGTCTGCAGACCCACTGCGCCACATGGGCATAGCCGTGTAGCTCACAGCAAGGCTGTTTCGTGAAGAACATTGGCCACAAGCACCAACTGCAGCGATTTAGATAAACGACAGTAAGTCCGAGCGAGGCTACTGATGGCAGGTGCCAGAATGGAGCCTCGGGCGCATCGCTGCCTGGCGGCGGCACATCTGCGCCGTCCTGAGGAATGTGCAGGTGCAGGCTGGCCCAAGAGGTCCACCGTCAGAATATACTCCGCAAGCTGAAACAACTGTGACACAAACGGGGCTGCAACAATTCAATCAAAGCAGTGCGCTGCCCAAGCATGCCATCCCAGCATTTCCTGACGTTGCCGCTAAACAACTGCCCTTGATGCTCTGATTTCCAGAGACATTACCGAAAGCCGAATAATTATCGAGCATCGACCATTGACCGGAACCCTCAGACAGCGTTCTTAACCGCTTTGCTCTGCTTCTCCTGTTACGCCATGCCTGAACTATGACTGACTCGCCATGGCATCAGTGGAAGGACGTCGCAACGTGTATCTGCATGGCAAGGTCGAGTGGCGGCTGTGACAATCGGGTTCTCAGCTGCCTGGAGGAATACATCAAACCTGGGAGCAAAAAAACAAACCGCATTCTACGGCTTCAGGTTTAGTCTCACATCTTGCTTGGCGTAGTGTGCTTCGGGGCTATGCTCGCTTGTATGTGAGCGGTGCATTTCTGGTCTGCATCTGCACAATGCAATGAATGTATTCATCCACGTGACTCATTGAACGGCTCGGGCACTGCTTCCGAACAGCTCACGCCGAGAATTCGATGGGCGGTGCTTGTGCTGCAGATAGTTTAGGGGTACGCAGTTGAGTGTGACGCTCCCAGCATCCTCCACGCCTGCTCCGGTTAAAACTCGTTAATTAGATCGCGAGATTTTTTGCACAGTATGTGCTGTGTGTAAAGAGGAAGCCGAAGGGTGCAGCATAAACGTCTTGCAGCAATTTGAGGTCCCAGGATCAGCTGGCAAAGCACCAGCAGTGAACGACAAGGGACCCTGTGACTGCAAGCACTGACCGCCTGAGCGGGAGTATAGTTTTACTGGGCAATACTTCGATGAGGCTTTGGGAACATGTGCCGACTGAATTGTCTGAGAGGCTCGAAGAGCAATAGCAAGCAGAAACAGTGAGCAAGGCGATTAGACTGCCGGCGATTACACGTGAAGGATTCCGTTCAGAATAGGAGTGTGAGGACTCTGCAGGACGAGGCGCTTGGCCAAGCAAGCCACCTGCTCGTTGTAAATATGTCGCAGGGACAAGCGAAGCCTTGGCTCGGGGAGAGCATCGAAGGGTTTTGTTTCTCCCGCACGGCCCTCTGAGACCCCGGGCCAATGCCCAAGAACTGCTTCACAACCTCTGGCTCCCTTCTTGAAAAGTCCACCACCGTTTCCCTATCTTCTAATGAATCGTCTGTATGCCTCATTTCGACCATTGCGACACCGAGCTTTCTCTGAATTGAAGATCTACAGGCAATTAGAGCGGTCAGGGATTGGGACTTTAAAAAGTGAAGGGTCAAGAGCTGTACATGTCTTGCCCAGGTGGCTGGTCCCAGCTGGGCTCCCCCTCCTTGTCCAGCTGCCTGCCTGCCGCAAGAGCGCGCAGGATCTGCGGGTTGTGGGATCGCCCAACAGCTCAAAAACCTGTGATCAGGTCATACAGGTCAACAATATTGTAAGCTGGGAATTCTACGCCCTGCAGTGCCTAACATACTAAAGGCAAACCGGGCCTTGGCTTGGTTGCAGGCTGCCCGAGACCACAGGGGGTGGGCCGAGCCCCGCGGCATGGGGAACTGGCATCGCCCCCAAAATCTGCAATATACTTCGACTATGCACAGAGCGCTGCCTTCAGCTAGTCTGAGCTTGGGTTAAAGGCTTCAAGCAACAGCTATGGAATTCGTCTAACCAGAAGCGTGCCATGTGTTTTCAATGCACACCGGAGATGACCACTTCGTGTTGTACTCACTCTTGTGACAGTGTAATGGTCTGTCGCTCAGGTCACTGTGGACTGGCCGTGGTTGGCCACAACCGCTTGAACACTTCAGTTGCTGGTTAGACACGCCCACCAGGCGACTTCTAGAGTGTTCTTGAGGATGCATATCTGACTAGCGTCTGCCCTTTGCCTGCAACTTGGTCTAGGGGGGCCGGGCCGCTTCACCCGACAAAGCAGCTGAAACTGTCGAGCCAACATTGAAGAATGAAGACGTAGTGCACGGGCTAGCGCCCAAAGCTCAGAGGCCGCTGTGGCAAGCAAGAGACGGTCATTGAGAGGTAGCATCCAACGTGTTGCAATTTTGTATATTCGTCGTATATATATATATGTACATACATACTATTTGGACATCTGTTTCAGTCGGGTTGCAATGCTATCAGCTGGAAGAGCATGCTCATGGGAAACAACGATAAAATTCGCGCAGCTAGCTTCTGCAAAGCCAAAGCTCTGGAATCCTCTAGAAGTCAGAGGTGAAAACAAACACAGCCGCAGCCAGGGACAACTGCACAACTTCGCGCCGTTTTCCATGCAACGGATCTTGTTCCGTCTGCATTGTGTCAAAATTAAACTAACTCTCCCGCTGGCTCTGGAAGACACGGGACGAGTTTCTTCAGAAATCCAGGACGAACCAGTCGTTTCAAAACCACATGTAGCAGGCGGTGTTTCCGCGAATCCACATGTACAGTATGCTCTTGCCGAGAATCCGACTGCATGCGCACTACAAATCCTTCTTCTGCTGCCCGGCCTCCTGCAACTGCTGCTACTTCTGTAGCTGCCATCCATCCGCCGCTACTACTACCCACTGTCTCTGCTCCGTTAGATCTTGCAACTAAGGACGCCATCAACTCGGCTAGCAGCAAAAATTACTTGTACGGGAGTACAAGTGCTAGTACTCGCACCGTCCTCAGTAGAGGCAGTAGCAGTGGCAGTGGCCATAGCAAGAATAAGTATTACTTTTCTTAGCAATAACTGTTGTTGCGGCGTCATCACTGCGCCGTTGCATTTTCGGTTGCGCTACGATGCCATAGGAAACGCCACCAGCGCTCCACGCTGTTTCGATCTAAGGACCTGCATTCGGCACGGCAAATTAGGCCGCAGCAGATCAGATGCACAGGCGCATGGGCACCCGCAGCGGCTGCGAGAATCTATGTGGATGCTGATGTTTCAGTTTCGCAGTGTGCAGACTTCTTGCAGTCTGGAGGGGCTGTGTGGCTTCCCAGATCTGGACGCTGCAGATGCCCACAAGCATTTGTTGGCACAACAAGTAGCTGATACGAGAGCCAGGCAAACTTGGAAGACTCTCTATAAGACTCTAAGCCTCCAGCCTAATCTCGAGCTTCCAATACTGTAAACGCTAAACCGCACAGATTATTCCTCTGGCTAACAACCTCCGCAGTGCCTGCAAGGGCATCTGGGGAGAATCTCACTTGCTGCAGCAACATGCCAGTACCGACGTGATTACACGAGATGGTACCGGGCTTAAAACTCAGCGCTTCAAAATGATTGTATGTTCTACTTGCATTGCTATGCCTGGCTGGCTTGGCTCAAGATTTCAATCAAGACAGAGATGCCCTTCTCGGGGGTGGCATGTTTTCGAACATTGACACCCCCCACCCCACCCCGCCCTCGCAAGCGCAATCCTCTTAATTCCGGCCATATGTTCAGCTTTTTCTCTGTAATGACGTAATCTCCGGCCGTGGGCACATCTTGTGACCGTTTTGAAGCCAAGGAGCCGCAGCAACCAGGACCCTAGGCAAAAGCTTGGGCTGGCAGAACCTGTATGCTTTGAAGTGACCGGTGCTACTATTCAGGGAAGCAGATTCCAGGGCAAGTCGCTGATTGAGTGTGTTCCGAAGGCCAGGTCCTGCATCCTGCAATTCCTTCGAAAATATAGACGGTCAGGGCAAACCTTGTCCGCAACCACCACTCTACATGTATACAGAGTCATTCGTCTGCCTCGAGCACCTTTCATCAGGCTACGCACTTCCGAGAAAAAGATCCGTGGAAGAGGACCGGCTGCTTACGATGGAATGATGTCGAGGAGGGCGCCCGCCTGAGCTCCAGAAGCTCAGTTTCAGGGAAGCCGCCCGAAGGTTCAATTTCGAAGTCATTGGATGGTTGGGCTGTGGTCCATTCATCGTTAGATCTACATTGTTGTGGAGCATGTGATCTTCCGCCAGAAGGGTGAAGCGGCCAACCTGACAACACAGTGCCAACCGCAAAACCTGAGCTCAAACAACAAATCCATTGGGGCTGCGGTGGGTTGTCTTAGCAAAGTGAATGCGTGTGATGCGCTAGACCCTGCCAAGTGTGGAAAAACACAAGCAGGCTGAACCCTCCAAGGTGCCAGGATGTCGTAGTTGATGCACTTGGTCCACAAGTGTGACGAGTTTGTTGTCCACTGACCTTGAAGGGAGTACACCACACTCCATCTTCCGTTCAAGCCATGTCAGCACTGAGTTGTTGACACGGAGTTTCGAAGTTTCAAAACCCTGCCGGGCATTTCAGTTCACCCTCCGAACTGAACACTTCAGGGTGGCCTCGGTGACAACAGGTGCCCTGCAGTCACTTGACAATACATCTAATGTCTTGGAGCCCGAGAGGCGTTTACGGCAGGCCTGGCTAAGGCAACCAGAACAGACTGGGAGCTCATGCAAAGCCAGTAAGCTTGCATCGTGATGCTTTCCATTTCAAATGACAGAGCGCCCTGACATGATTACGGAAGATAAGACAGCCTGAACCCCTGAAACAACTCCACCAATTCAGACTCCCCACCCCTGAACCCCACAATGGAGCACTGGACAGGGAGCCTCAAAAGTCGCAGTGTTTGTACGGCGGTTGCCGGCACATCGTGGAGGAAGAGATTGAGGAGACCATCGACAAACTCCTGCTGAGCACGTCGGGCTCGAAGTTTCTTCTCAGGGAACCGGGGCCGGTGCTCCATAAAACCCCGGAGTTTGCAATTGTAAAAACATTGGAAAGGCACGTGATGAATGCCTTGGTTCTCGCTTCAAGCCATCAGTCGCATGTCGGGGTTGGAGTATCGGCGGGTGCGCTTGTGTATGAGGCTCTGCTGCTCTTACGGTGTCTGGCAGGCAACATGTCCAATGGTGGATCGAGCAACAATGCTTCTCTGGGAGCCATGTGAATGCGACTGTTTTGCTCCCAATAAGTCTGCTCCCTGCAGCTTAAATTCCAGGGCTGCGCTAAAACACTACCACAGCTTCAATGGCCACTGAACAGGATGCCGGTTTCTTTCACGGCCTCGGGAGCCGGCTCATTCAAAATATCTTGCAGGCCTTCTACCTGTCGAGGAAAAGCCTGCCTGCTCCTTGTCTTAGCCAAGCTGCAGCCGGGTTGACACAGGTGCGGGTTCGTGGTGGCTGTAGCAGTGGCAGCAGCAGGTGGAGCAGAAGCATCGTTAAAGGAGAGCAAAACTCAAGACTGAAGCGGGAAGGATCCTCAAAAGTGTTTGCCACTATTCTGCCCGAGATTCCACACCGTGACACTGTCAAACTTACTTTGCACTCTTGAGCAGACGGCATCTGTAGACGTCTTCGATTTGTTCAGCACGGCAGGCGGCCTCACGCGTCAACTCACCGCCGCCATCCACCTTAACAGAGTCTTCTGTATAGAATACTTGCCAGGATAGGTTAAGGCCTTTCAGCTTCTTTACTTTCGATTGCCTTTATCTGCTGGTGCGATTGAAAGCGAGGACAGCTACTGTGGTTCAGTCAGTCCTTGATTCACCCGTGCAATCTTCGTGACCGAAGATGAAGTCTGACCCGAGCCCGAGGGTTTAGCCAACACTGTCGAGATTGATCTGAATTGCTCCATTTGACAGTCCTCTGATGGTGCAGGTTGTGTGCGTATGAGTCTTGTACATCATCTCAGGACTGAGGAGGGCACTCTGCAGATTATGATGAAAGAGTCGTCTGCAAAGGGTCTGCTACGAGGGGCTGCAAGAGCTAACAAGACACAAATTCACTTTGGCAACCTGAAGCGATTGGAGCCAAGTAGGCCACGGAACTGAGACCAGAAGTGACAAGTAGCATCCAGCATTTCGAAGACGTCATGCATGGAGGAGATGTTGGTTTTCGCCCGAAGCTCCTCGGCGACCATCTTGCTGCTGACAGTTGGACATGCAATCAGGAGACATAGAGCTACCTGCCACAACGACGCCGATGCTCGGAAAACACGCGCGAGAACCACATGCCGACTTCCTGAATTGCTGAATGCAGCTATAGTCTATAGTACACATGTAAAACACAACAGCCCAAACATTCAAGGCATTCAACGACATCCAAACACATACCTCGGAGGAGGCACAACCTCTGCCTCGGCGTCCAAGACTCAGAGAGGACTGGCGCGAACGGTGAGTCGAAGTGCTCGCTCTCTCTCTCTCTCTCTCTCTCTCTCTCTTGCTCTCTTTCTCTCTCGGTCTCTCTTTCGGTCTCTGTGCCTGTCTCTGTTTCTCTCCCGCGCTCTCTCTCCCTCTCTCTTTTCGCCAAGGATCTTCCGGAATGATATCTATAGGAACATGAGACATCTCCTCCATTGTCAGGGTGCCAGAGCCTGCTGCATCGGGGACGAAGGTCTGCTTCAGCCATCGAGGCATGCGTGTGGTAGTCTTGGCACAAGGTCTTGGAAAGGGCGTCTTCTAGCCAAACACAAGACCTTGCTTCGCGGATCCTTTGCCAACTCCATGCCCCTGCCCATGACATTTGGAAATGCGCACAACTCAAGTGAAAGCGTGGCGATCACGTTGCACCTGAGCCTCCTACGGAGGCAACCAATCAGGCCTGAAACCCTCAAGGCCGAAAATACAGATCCCCTGCGCCGATCGAACAGAAAAGCAGGCACCGTCTTTGTCAATCTCGCCGAAAATGGTGAGTAGCCTTCTCAAGGCTGGGGTCTGCGTGGCATGGATCTTCCGATGCTACCCACACTGTCTTGCCAGGCTTTGGATGGATTCTGGCGCGGTTTGGTGCACGAAAGCTGCTATCTTGACTTCATGGCTTCACGCAGAATTTGTCCCTCCCAAAGTACTGGCCCGCCTTGGCATCTGCTTCTGCAACTTCTCTCGGAGATCAAGCTTCTCCACCCTGAGTTTCAGAGACTAACAAAGGTGCTCCTGTTGGCGATGGCGGGGTAGCGTGAGCCGATGATAAGGGCCCTCAAGTACACTCCTGCTCGCTTGAGAAGCGCTCTGTGTGTCCGAAGCCGAGGACGGCAGCCTGTTTGCTAAGGCTATGGTACAACCTTCTTACGCCGCTATGAAAGCAAGCGATCGACATGAGGCCTAACGGCAGAAAACTATTCTGTCAAACTCGCTCAAAGAAACAAACAAAAAAACGACCTCTGGCCCGGTAGCTCTCTGTCCGCTGATGCGTGTGAGAGCGCTCCTTCCACCAGCACCGCGGTGACAAGGTTCCTCGCTGGGGCGTTGTGTCCAGCTCCCGGAGCTGCGAGTTTCGGAGTAGAATGCTCAGGTCATGGCCATGTAGGCAGATTGCAATCTCGAGTTGCTATGGAGTAGTTGTACTCATTGCCACTGCTGATGCAGCAGGTTGATTCAAAGTACAAGTTTAAAGTGAGGCGATGGCACAAGAATTCCTCGCATTTCGAGGCAAACATAAGACATGGCATTGCTTAACAGTAAAGGAACATGTCCAGGCGAACGCTGTGTCAAACGTAAACATGTATGACACAGTACAGCAGGTATCTTTATCACAATTTGTGGCTCGATACCGATGTCGATATCTGTTTTCCGAGTCCGGCCGTACGCCCTTCTGCCTGTTTACGAGAGCACCCACCTACCTACCGACCTACCTACCTACCTACCTGTATACCTACCTACCCACCCAGGACCGACCCACCGACCTACCTCCCGACATACCTCCGTACATACATATCAAGCTACCTATCTTCGCATGTGTTAAACTTCAAGTGGCCTCCGGCAGTCTGTCTCTCGGGTGGTTCGGGGCAGCTTCAGGCCCTTGCTAAACATCTGTGGTGTCACAATATTAAAGGACAGTTAGGCGGCTCGGCTGCCCCACATACGTGCCGGGAAGATTCGACTCAGTAGATCAAGCCCGGTCCGGCGGCAACACATCAGAACCAGGCATCATAGTTCCATACATTCACCATGCTACAAGCCCAATTCATGCCGAATGGAAATCTCATGAAGCAGGCACTGAAGCAATAAGCTCAAGGGGTCGGGGGAATTGTGAAGAACCATGAAGGCAACCGAGGTGCATCAGTGCAACCGAGACAAAGAGCACGATGAAGAAAAAGTAACTCGGGCACGTCAAGGCTCACTGTCAGATGACGTGTGTTCTGATGTGTCCATAGTTTATGTGTCAGCGCACGTGAAGCAGGCATTTGACAGCATGCTCATGCCACCTACGCAACCAGGGCTGTTCGGATCTGCACGCTCCTACGCCGAAGCTGACGACGAGACACAATGCAAGGCCCGGCTTCTGGGCAATGAGTGGCGAATAGATTGGTGCAACGGAATCAAGGGTCACCTGAGTTCGAGTTAGGAGGAGCAGTTGCGGCGATGCGGCAGTACAGACTATACAACAATCCGCCGTGTCGGGTACGATCTTGTTATTGCTGTCTGTCACGGGATTTTGGGAGCAATCCGGATTTGCTGCCTAAATACTAAAGCATACCATTGCATCATCCTCATCTTTCTTAAATACAGGACAGGTCCTAGCTGAAAGTGCCAAGTCTCGAATGAGGATAGTGTAAGGAGAGTGCTGAAAAGTGACCCAAAGTACCTCAGTCACCGCGGCGCAACGGCTGTAGATTAGGCGTGCGATGAATGTGACGTACGACAAGTTCGAATTCACACGAGTTCAACAGACGGACTGTGCTGATTCACGCAACCACATTAAGGGAAGGGCGTAGGCAGCCTGCCACAAAATCAACCATGGTGCTGGCTGACGATTCCCGACGTCTCGTCCGCCTGGCTTAAAGTGCTGTCCTTGCACACCAAATGACTTCTTCATGCATGGAGCTAAGAGCTGCAGCCCGTAAAGGCGCCAAACCCCCACCCTCCGAAAACGCGCACCGAGACCAGAATCCGATGCATGTTATTTACGGCTAGAAGGCTTAAAGGGGTGCATCTTCGGAATGCCCTTCAACAGCCATCCACAAAGCTTTACGACATGCTGTCCTTGGTGATGACTTCAATGCCCAAGCACGCCGCAATGTAAAGGGTGAGCATCACCAGCACCTCTCGAACATATGAGACACATGTTTGAACATAACTTGCATTCTGGCATGACTTTTGGAGAGTCCCACGATCACTTCATAAACGGAGTCATAAACCACGGCATGAGGGCTGTATTGCGGAGTTGCGCCAAAGGACCTGCTGCAATCGTTTCTAGCTTGCATTCTCGGAGCAGGTGCGTTGAGGAAAGCAGGTGTGCCACTAGACCTAGCGACAAGACTTCTCACAAAGCAGGCTTGACAAAGAAGATGCATGACAGTCGTTGCAACCCATTCTTGCTCTGAAGCTCTTCGAATACAGTACATTCGTATTGCACTACTAGTACACTATTATGATTCCTAAACCCTAAACCCTTATAGTACAGCTCACATGGGAGCATCTCAGGCGCCAAAGTCGACAGCATGGCATTTGCGGATGTCAGCAGGCCACTCACCAGGCGCCAAACTGTTCGAAACCTCGGTCTCTGCATGTGGGATTTGCGGAAAGCTAGAGGCGCCTTATTTGGGAGCCTTTAGAGTGACGAGCCTGCCATTTCGGGCTCGATTGTTTCGGTTTCTGCTATATACTGAGATTCGATTTGGGAGATACTGGGGATTGAGCTTGTCGAGAAAACTGTGCGCGGTGGCAGGGAGATATCAGGCGAGCGTTTCTCTGCTTTGAGCCGCTGGGCGCGGGATATATATATATATATGTGTATATATATATGTATATGTGTGTATGTATATATATATATATGCCTGAGTGCATTTTGTGGGGATTGCATGTACTAATTATGCTATCGGCATCGAAGGAATGATTGCTTCGTATACTAAATTTGACGGTCTCAATTGCCACTTCCACCGCCGGCCTGTTGTTCACAAAGCTCTCAAGCCCCCGCTCCCGCCCACTTGCGTAGGTCTGCAAGCTTAAATAGTCCGTGAACGGGCGATAACAACCCTCGAATTTCAATTACGATTCGAACAACCGAACGCAAACGTGGACAGACCCAAACTCCTTCTCCAGAACTCAGAAATGCAAAGCCCGACATGTGAAATCCCTCTCCCCGTTAGGCTTTTTGCCACAGCTAGGCTCTGCATCTGAAGAGTACTTATTTCTCACATGGCAAAATTCATAGCTAGGATCAGTAGCAGTGCCGCAACAATATTCAACAAGATCCAACTTGCTCCAGCCCTAGTTGCCGGGCTCCTTTCATGAAGTGCGTCAATCATGCACTCATATGTTCCTTCCTGGTGACTGTTTCAGCAATCGCAGTGCCCGAATCAGCCGCAGCAGTCGAAATGTACGAACTACCATGAAGGTCTGCATCTCCTGAAGGCTATAGGCGGCCGCGAGCTCAAGGAAGCTTTGGGTCATGGGATGGCGCATGGAATCCGAAGATTCTTCTGTGTATACCGGGGCGTCCTAAGCTCCGCGCACTTCCGACAAATGGCACCCGCGACCTGCACCCCGTACACGAAAACTCAAGTAAAAGACATCCGGGACTGTGTTGTTGCTTGAAGGAGCTCCTGCACTTCCACGCCCGTTGAACTTGTGAAAAGACTGACGATGCCGATGGAAATCAGGATCATGTCCAGAATGCACCTCTGTCTGATCGAAGTTGGGGGACATGAGTGGGAGCTAGATTCTAGATGAAGAGAACGCAAGCAACAATGGAGCCGCACGAACACTCAACCTGATCACCTCAACACACGTGCAATCACAGAACCAGGGAAGTCAGCCGAGGCACCATGGATCGCAGAGGCACTTCTTACCGAAAGCAAGAAATCGAACCGTTAACTCCGCGAGGTAGATCATCACCTGTGCCGTCAGTGATCTTCTGGGCTACAGTCAAGAACCCAGACCAAGCCGTAATCATGCTGTCATCTTAAGAAGTCAGGCTATGCGTCTATGACCTGAGTCGTACCCACGGTATGTGAAACAGCGGTACTGGTAAAGCAGGCTACCGAAACTGGGCTCTGACAACATATGTTCGCTTCAGCGCCACGGGCTGGAGCTTCCGCAAACTTCTCCGACAACAGGTGCAAACGACGTACTTGGCGCCTTTCATGGACGACTCGATGCTTGCAGCATGCTGGGCTTTTGCCGACTGCCGAGGCACGAATGCAAAGTCGATCCAGGACATCCAAGGAGACACGTGGGTCAGTGACGACTGGATTTCATACCCGACCTGGCGTAGCGGCACATCAGGTATGTGCTGGCCGGCTGATGTGTCATTCATCAGGTCCGGAAGATTTGTTGTGAAATCTCTGCCGTCAAGGCTTCCGGCTTCCCCGTATTTGCATGACTATCGATCGCAGCTGAAGCTTTCTACAGCAAGCGACAGGCTCGCGGCTCGCTTGAGTACCTTATATGCTTGGAAATGACATCGCCTGGATTTTGACCTGCGGCAAATCGGTTGCTGCGTTCCGTAATTCTCAGCTCGACTGCACAATGCTGCGGGCACATGCCAACAGCAACTCGACTCGAGACGGTCCCATCGCAAATCTTGGCGGGGCACGGTAATGGCATTGATCACGATGATCAAGCCCATCAAATATTCGAACCATTTCCGAGAGACGAGGAGGAAGCAGCTGTAGCCTTCAAAGGATGCAACAGCAGTTCCGACCCTACTATAGCTGATCTTCCCCATGTCTTCAGTCAAGGTAGCATGCTCTGCTGGAAACACTATGTAGACACTGTAGACTAGGCCATACCGCGACGACAGTTGGAACGATATGAAAGATGGAGAAACACCTAACTACTGACAACGGTGTAGTGACAAAACAACTTGGGAATATTAGACAGCCGTCGAATGCATCCGCCGCAACGTCTTGCCCGTGCCAGCTGCCTTCTCGATACGATGACAGTGTGTTGCTACTGTCCAAGAACAAGGCTATGCGGGAGTGATGCGAACTTGAAGCATGTTTAATTGTCCAGGTAACTTCTTAATGACCCAGCTGTTCAACTAACCACCGCTCAGCTTGCAGGCTCTCGATTTCATACATGGATCTATGCATACATATATATATATA